AGTTCAATCCATGAGCTTTTGGACGATCACATGTTTTTGTCCTGTCCGGCACTGGCAATCAGAATTATTGGTCTGAAGGAAAAAGAAAGATCTCGAACGATTTATTTTCTCAGTGTGGATCATTATGGCTTTGCCACAACTGGTCCCACTTGATTGATCTTCTTATTATTTATTTCTTATTATTTTTATTAAAGATTACAATGGCAAACAGATACAGGACCGGGGGATCGTAGAAGAGAAAGAAAAAGAAGACAAGTTTAGAAAAGGAGAGGAGTAACAGCAAAAAAGGAAGAGGAATAGAAAAGACAATGAAAACATGAGATCACCTGCTGGAAGAAAAAAAGAAAAAGAAAAGGAGCAACAAAGGAACACAGCAACCCTAGATAAGCAAAGTTAAGTAAATAATAAATGACTGAATGTACTGAGCAGCACAAAGACCGAACAGCACGAATATGCTTAGAGGCAGCATCAGCAAGATAGTGGTGTCTGTGCATACCTGTGTGCGTGAGCGCGTTGTATTCAAAAGGTTTCTCCATGTAATTATCTAATAGTAATTGTGGGGAACCATAGCACTGCCCCCCAGGACATGGAGCAAGCATGGAGGACATCCAGGACCCAGACATCTAGATTCCCCCCAGAGCACAAGAGCCCAAGCAGGACCACTGGAGGGACAGCCGCCTCCCTCCTAGAAACAAGCTGGGGAGAGCCCCAGACGGGTGTGTGTGGGGGGCGGTGAGATGGAGTCTAAGACCCAACCAGACATATAAACATAGACAAAGCTCTTCATAAAACATGCCTCATTCACAGACATTCATATAAACACTAGATTCTATGCCTGAGTGCTTTCTATCTAGCATTGAGACAAATGTTCAGCATTTTACTCTCACCAGTCAGAGAGTCTAAAATATTTGAAACTGTAGCCTTTTGTTGTTTGTCACTGATCAATATCTGAGTAATATTATTCATAATTAGGCACTAACACACATGGTGTCTTGATGCACGCTCAATCATCCAGGTAAGTAAAACCCACAAAGTAGTGTTGGACGTAATGTTTTCAGGGGGAGAAACGTTTCGTCACTCATCCAGGTGACTTCTTCAGTCTCAGCTGACTGCAGGTTTCTCCAACCTTAGAAACAGGACATTTGCATAATGACTGAAACCAGCCCACTGAAGGAACAATGGGCTGGGAGGTCAGTTCCTTGATCATTAATATGCAAATTGTCATGACCATTAATCAACAGCCACTGATCAATGGCCATGAGTAACACACATGGTCTGGTGCAAAGATTCAGTATAAGTTCTGATGATGTGCTGCTTATGTTTTTATGCTGTAATCTTTATAGTGTAGTACAGAGCAAGATGAAGAAATGATGACTTTTCTTCGTGCAAATATTTACCATCTGTATTACCAGATTTTAAGTACGTCACAGAATAGCCTGCCCAATCCTCACAACCAAAGCTTGCTCAGCATAAGATGCACAATGTAAAACTTTGAACAAATGCTTTTAAAAATAATCAACAAAACACAAATTGCTGATTTTATGAATAACTCAATGGATTAATTAAAAAGAGAAAGAGGAAAAAAGATGTAATTACAGCAGACAGAAATACCAAATCACTGATTCTTGAACACAGAGTAAACCTTTTATAATGGACAAGGGCATTTCCATGATTTCCATAGAGGCACTTTGCATCAGCAGCACCATGCTCCAGTGCTCTGGGAGAGTTTATAGTCCTGAGAGTTGAACACTGGATGACTGACAGCTGTCCTTCATCACAACAGAAGCCACAGAAATCCTCCTCATCAAAAACATGACTTTGATCTGCGTCCTCATCTGGACTCTCCTCTGCTGCTGCTTCACAGGTAAAGTCCAGAGAATCAAACTCCTCTCCTCTATCAACATCTGTCCCTCTGAAATGAAGCCCACAAAACCATGAAGCTGCTTTATGTTTTTGTCTCTGTGTCCTCAGAGTCCAGAGGACAGATCACAGTGACTCAGCCTGGAGCAGTGAGCTCTGCTGTGGGAGGATCTGTGAGCATCAAGTGTACGACCAGTCAGAATGTTTGCAACAACCTATTTAGCCTGGTACCAACAGAAAGATGGAGGAGTTCCTAAACTGCTCATTTATGCACTCGACAATCAGGGATTCCAGCTCGTTTTACAGGCAGTGGATCAAACTCTGACTTCACTCTGACCATCAGTGGAGTCCAGGCTGAAGATGCAGCAGTTTATTACTGTCAGAGTTTTCACTATCCTAACAGTCAGTATGTGTTCACACAGTGAAAAACAGTCGTACAAAAACCTCCCTCAGTCAGACTGAACAGAAACTGAAGTGACTGCTGCAGCTGGAAGATACTGCAGAGACTGATACAGTTCACTGAGGACACACACACACACACACACACACACACACACACACACACACACACACACACACACACTACACACACACAGACACACACACACACACACACACACACTTACTTTATATTGCTGAAATATTTCTGCTTTCAGAATAAATTAGCATCAAAACATCCATCCATGCCTTTACTATCTGCAGTGTCACATTCAGGAAGTGAATAAATAACAAGTCATAAAAAATGTCACTAGAATGAGCACATTGAGGCTTTTATTCTTCATTGAGAATAATATGCTCAAATATTTAGTGTGAACTCTGTAAACAGAATTTGTGAAAAATAATGTAGTGATTTAAAATCGAGGACTTTACTGTGTTTGAATAGTTATGATTGATAAGGACAATCATATTCACAGAATTACTTTTACAGCTGAGATTGTTGGAAATGCACGAAACATTTAGAATTTTAAATGATGTGACGTCTCATGCTATTAGTATCGTCATCAAAAATCATCCTGAAAAATGTTTGCTCATAGGGGGCTCTCTGATTGTTGGGGTTGTCCAGTATTCTTGAAAGTCTTTTTTTATGTTACAATAGTGACTGTTGTGAGTTGATGTTACATAAATAAAACTGAATTGGACTGAACTGAATATTATTTAGTTCCCACAACTGTTTCACAAGGAGAACCTGTAGAAATAAAGTGTTTCTGACCAGTAAGATGGTAGAAAGCTTTTATTTTGAAAACACCCAGGAACTAATGAGTTTGTTGAAAAAGTGGATTACAGTGACTTAAAGGGAGCAGGAGAGCATACACTTTGAAATACTGATGGATTATGACACAATTATGATATAGAGATTTCCAACAGTGCCTGAATCACATTAATGTTTATAGTTTGAGCTGCTTCAAAATGCCTTTGACTTTTAATTATCAGTTTTCTCAAGTTTCATTTCATGCAAAAGTTGACTTCATGAGTCAAGTAATGTGTCTTATCCTGACATTTTCCCTCTTGCATGAAGTTTAGTTAAGTTCTGCTCTGTTCTATTAAAATATCAGAATTATTTGGGACCAGGAGCATGTGGGTCCATGCAGATTCAGGACTAAGTGAAGAGGATGCTGGAGCCTCTCTCAGATGCTATTGGGAAAAGAGACAGGATACACCCAGGATAGATAAAGAGATGGACAACCATTCATACTCACATTTTCACGTTTGATCAATTTAGAGTCACCAGTTAACCTAACCACAGTATCTGCATGTCTTTGGATGTGGAAGGAAACCGGAGAGAGCCCACAGAAACACTGGAGGAACCTGCAACCTCCACAAAGAAAGTCCCCAGCCTGGATGAACCCAGGACCATCCTGCTGTTAAAGCAATAAGTGTTAAAGCTATAATGAGAATCACACAATGATTTTTCCTAAGCTTTGCTGTCATGTCTTAAATAAAATAAACTACCTCACTGCGGGTTAGCATAATACTCGATAAAACACAAACTGGAAAAACACAGTATTTATGACATGGAAGTGAAGTCTCCCTGTAGTCTTCCAAAGAATATAAAAGCATATTTTAATTTTAATTTAATTACATTTTAATTGCAGCAGCTTCTTCAAACTTCTTTCCTATGGTAGAAAGGTGATTACTTGGGTTAAGATACCCCCCACCAAAAAAATTAAACCAAAACAAAAAAGAAAGGAAAGAAAAAAGCTTGAAATATTCCCAAAAATAACTGCAATAAACTGATAGATCCACTTATAAATGATTCTTCAGACCAACTGAATCTGTCTTACAGTCAGATCATTTCCATAGAGAGGCACTTTGCATCAGGTATATTATTTAATCTTAAAAAAAATATGGAGATTTCTCGCGTACCACCAGAGAGAGGCCAAGTACCACTTGTGGTATGTGAACCACAGTTTGAGAAAGACTGCTTTAGATCATGCACAGAACCAGTTAAAATGATAATACTGCTGAGCATTACACACTACATCACAAAACAGATAATAACATGTTCAGGACATGAAAGTCGAGTCTTTCCAGTCTCACAGGTTGTCCTGTTATTCTACAAAACATTTTAACAAGTGATATCTGCGCTGTGGTCATGTTTAACTTTTCCAACCTGTGGTCAGCATCGTGCATCAATGTGAATCACTGCAAGGTTTTTTGTACTGAGTGAGTTTTTAAAAACTCTAAAATAACTTTTACAAATTGTTCCTTTTTTTTAAATTTCACTTTTGAGGCCATGTTTACATGCACAGGTGTAGTTTGAAAAACATTGACTTTTCTATTTATTCTGGCCTATTTTTTACATGTGAACAGCACTTTAATTTGTTGACAGGTCATTTTCTAACTTCTTTCAGGGTGAAGATTCTCAGAAACTATGTTCATAAAAGGGCCACAGGTTAGACTCAAATCCAGGCTGCTGCCCTCTCCCATGACCCACTGAGCTAAACTGGCACCCTGCACAGTCCTGATTGGCCAACACTTGGATTGGGGTGAGGAAATCTCCTTTCCAAAAATCGTTCTTTTGAAATAAATTACAGTGGACATTGTGAAAAACTGATTAACTGATAAACAGCATCAACTATTTGAGCCAAGTAGCTGTTGTATTCAGTCAGATGATTTCCATAGAGAGGCACTTTGCATCAGCAGCACCATGCTCCAGTGCTCTGGGAGAGTTTATAGTCCTGAGAGTTGAACACTGGATGACTGACAGCTGTCCTTCATCACAACAGAAGCCACAGAAATCCTCCTCATCAAAAACATGACTTTGATCTGCGTCCTCATCTGGACTCTCCTCTGCTGCTGCTTCACAGGTAAAGTCCAGAGAATCAAACTCCTCTCCTCTATCAACATCTGTCCCTCTGAAATGAAGCCCACAAAACCATGAAGCTGCTTTATGTTTTTGTCTCTGTGTCCTCAGAGTCCAGAGGACAGATCACAGTGACTCAGCCTGGAGCAGTGAGCTCTGCTGTGGGAGCAACTGTGAGCATCAAGTGTAGGACCAGTCAGAATGTTCATGTTTATAGCAACAATCACTGTTTAGCCTGGTACCAACAGAAAGATGGAGGAGTTCCTAAACTGCTCATTTACTGGTCTAGCACTCAACAATCAGGGATTCCAGCTCGTTTTACAGGCAGTGGATCAAACTCTGACTTCACTCTGACCATCAGTGGAGTCCAGGCTGAAGATGCAGCAGTTTATTACTGTCAGAGTTTTCACTATCCTAACAGTCAGTATGTGTTCACACAGTGAAAAACAGTCGTACAAAAACCTCCCTCAGTCAGACTGAACAGAAACTGAAGTGACTGCTGCAGCTGGAAGATACTGCAGAGACTGATACAGTTCACTGAGGACACACACACACACACACACACACACACACACACACACACACACACACACACACACACACACACACAGAGTGATAGAGTGAAAATGTTATTGTTGCTAAAAACAAAAGAAGTTGGAAATCTATCTGTATCTCAGTCAATCAAATTTTGACCTTTGACCTCTGCTTCATAGCAGCTCAAATACATGTGAACCAATTCCTGAATATTGCTCATTATGAAAACATTTCTAAAGAAAGAGAAAAAAACACAATAAATCACCAAAATCAGTGAGTCACAATTGTCTGCATAACTTATAAAAATACTTCCAATAGAAACTTTAAGTCCAGTTTTCTCAGGTTTGTAGATTTTTTCTTTTTTGCTGTTCAATACTAGTCTGATAACTTTGTCTTGCAATTCCAATAAAATTGATCCATGTTTGTGGCTGTAATGTGACAAAATGTGGGAAAGTTCAAGGGGGCCGAATACTTTTGCAAGCCACTGTATGTGTGTCCTCATTAGGATAGGGATTTATATTGGCGTGAGGGACTGTAGCCTATAAGTTCTTATTGTTAAATGATAGTTATGAGATGGTGTGTTTCAGGTGATTTTACAGAAAAACACCAAAATAATGTACTGCATTACTTTAAAAAAGTACTCTGCATAATAGAATACTTTAAGATACCTCAACACTGATCATTTGACTCATTCTTATATTGTGCTTTTCTACTCCACCTGAGAACTCAAACTGCTTTATATAACAAGCTACAACATGCTGAAACATTCATTAAACAGCATGCAATGACTTTGCATGAATAACGGCGGTGTCGCTCAATATTCTCAGTAATAAAATCATAATCTCTAAGTTCTTATCAATTCCCCTTCGCACTTATTCTTTAACATAAACTTCGCTTAACTTCATGTATTCAAAGTGACTTAATTCTACTGACTCATATTGACTACAGATAGCACACTGGTTTCCAATAAGAATCCTGGAAATCATTATTTAGATTTC